GATATGCAAAAGACTGAAACAAGACCTTTCCCTCACACCTTATACAAAAAACAACTCAGCATGAATTAAAGACCTAAATGTGAATCCCAGGATTATGAAGGCCATCAAGGAAAAAATAGGAACAAATGTGAGGGCTCTAATTCAGGGAATACACAGACTACCCAACAGTTTGAAAACTACACAAACAAAAGTAGACAAAATAGATGATTAAAAACTAAAAACTTAAAACAAACTAAAAACTTACATGCATCAAAAGACTTCACCAAAAGAGTAAAAAGGGAACCCACGGAATGGGAAAAAATCTTTTGCAACGATCAGACAAGAACTCATTTCTAAAATACACAAGAAACTACAACACCTCTACAAGAAAAAGACAAATAACCCAATTTGAAAATGGGCACAGAACATGAACAGACACTTCACCAAGGAGGAGACCCAGGCAGCCAACAAACATATGAAGAAATGTTCATGATCACTTGTCATCAGAGAGATGCAAATCAAAACACCAATGAGATATCATCTCACACCAGCAATAACAACTAAGACCAAAAAAGTAGAAGACAATAAATGCTGGTGGGGATGTGGAGAGACTGGGACGCTCCTGCATTGCCGGTGGGACTGCAAAATGGTCCAACCTCTCCTGGATAGCAATATGGCATTTCCTCAGAAGGCTGGAAATAGAAATACCTTATGATCCAGCAATTCCTCTACTTGGTATTTACCCACAAGAAATACGAGCCATAACACGAGTAGATATATGCACACCAATGTTCACAGCAGCACTATTTACAATAGCAAAAAGATGGAGACAGTCTAAGTGGCCACTAACTGAAGACTGGATAAACAAACTGTGGTACATACACACAATGAAATATTACGCTACCCTGAAGAATAACAAGGAAGCTGCAAGCCACCGCATAACATGGATGAACCTTGAGGACATTACGTTGAGTGAAATTAGTCAGTCACAAAAGGAGAAATACTGCATAGTACCACTACTGTAAAAGACTAAGGGAAAGAACCCATACTAAAGGGGGGGGTGGGGGTTGGGAGGGGTGGAGATTCTTGCTGGTTACTAGTTTGTGGGGGTGACGTGAGAGGAGAGAGGGGAAGGTGGAGGAAATACAAAATAAGGGGGAGGGGAATGGAAGAATAAGGTGGATGGGAGAACAGTTACGCAGGTTTGCATGGGCTAAGTGGGACAGAGGTAAATAATGATGTATGTACAACCTTGGAACAACAGGGCTCTGGGATACAGAGACTGAGATATGGTTGGAATGGGGAAAACGGGGGAAATAATGTTACGTTGCTTGGCTGTCTTTTGAATCTTGGTTTTCCTTGCATACCATTATAAAATAGACACTGGAGGGGGAGAGAAAGGAATAACCAGAAATAGCATCATAGAAAGCTTATAAATCCATATTCTGCCTATAACTGATTGGATTACCTAAAATAGGGCTACAATGTGCCCAGTGAAGGAGGCTTCCTGTGGAGCCTCTGCATTACATTAAGACCATAGGGAGAATGCTAAACCCCATCCAGAATCTTCTGAGGTGGGAAATTTCCACTTGAAAGGACAAGCAGACCAGCCTGGAGCAGCTAGAAGAACAGAAGATACTTCTTGAAAGAAAGACCAACAGGAAAAATACAAAACAATAATGGCAGTCTGACTGATTACTACAAGAACAAGCAAGTTGCTTGCCCAGGAGACATCAAGGCAAGTGGTCAGGTCCCCTCAGGGCAAACCCCCTGCCAAGACTAAGACTCAGTGGTAATACACGAACAGATATGTGCTCGGATTGGTGACCACATTGGTCACCGATAAAGGGAAGTGAGGGGTAAACAGCAATGAAGCTGAGAGTTAAGCCCCCCTACAATGTTCAATAGACTTCTGTGAACCCGAGTGGAGACCTGGTTGGCCAGCAGTATGGTAAGACCTGGGGACTCATGGGCCCAGAGTCAGTGATATCCACCGAGGACTAGAGTGGAGAATGAAGCGTCCAGCTGATAAGAAGAGAGGGCATATGTATAAGAACACCCACACTTGAAGATAATACCCACTTGACCTGGCTTCAATGACCGGATGATCAGAGCTCAACTAGTAGAAGAAAGAAGAGGAAAAAAAGAGTAATCTGATACAATGTAATAAATTTGACCTACACCTGTGCATGCAGTATCTCAAAAGAAGGAACAAATGTTTATAGCAAGGATCATTCCCAGCCCCTTGATACACAGGGTAGACAGAAATGGGCAAATTGGACATTGGTTACCCAAAACGTGGGGGCTACAAAGGCAAGAAGTGATTAGATTACAAACTTTCAAGAGGGAGCCTAGATCCAGAGGGTGTGGAGGAAGGCAAAATCTCCACTGAGTAGTATCCAATCTGTCTGGGCAAGGCTCATGAAAGGAGATGGGGATAGGTCTCTTGTGGTATAATAGTGAATAACTGCTATCAGGATTGACTGTGAGGGTTGGAAATGTAAAGGCATATGTTTTGTAGCAAAAGGCAGGGAGTGACTGACTTTGCAGGCCAGGAGTGGAGGTCTTTGGAACCATCAAAAGAGAAGAGCGGAATGCAAGACCCTACCCAGTGACGCAATGACGCCGGGGATGGAGGCAGAGACGATGACATGGAGAGATGGAGCGGCTAGGGACTCTAGACCCAGAGAGGGACTGATGACCGGGGGACAGACTTGCAGGGTATCCTCTTTGGTTGGTTGATGATGCATGGAGGGGACTGTAACCATGGCAATGAAACGATATACGATAGGATGAATGTAAAGCTAATGTTCTCCCATGTAAACTAATATATAATTCACAATAAAACATTTAAAATTTTAAGAAACTTAAATACAATAAAAATTTCTATTTAAATAAAAGGAGATTTTTATTAATTAACATATTATATACAAACTAGTAATGAAAACAAAAATAAAGCTCAAGAAACCCAGACACTTTTGAAATTCTACAAAATTAAAGATTTGCTTCCTATATACCAGGTATGTTGCTGTTAAGTTTATAGGGTTTACAAGGAATGGCTAGTGGATTTGAACTGCCGACCTTGTGGTTTGCAGTCAAGTGCTAATCCTACAGCGCCACAGCAGGAGTCCATAAAACATATTGTTGTTGTTGTTATATGCCATGGAGTTGGTTCCAACTCATAGCGACCCTGTACAGGGTTTCCGAGGCCATAAATCTTTACGGGCGCAGAAAGCCTCCTCTTTCTCCCGTGGAGCAGCTGGTAGTTTCGAACTGTTGACCTTGTGGTTCGCAGCCCGATTCGTAACCACTATGCTACCACAGCTGACTAATTCATATTGTTGGTGTGATGAGTAATTATGGGGGGGTGGGGGCAGGAGGCTGTTGGTGGTAGTGGTTGTGTGCCAGCAAGTCAGTTCTGACTCATAGCAACCCTGTATAGGGTTTCTGAGGCTCTAAATATTTACAGGAGCAGAAAGCCTCATCTTTCTCCTGATAGATTCAAACTGCTGATGTGGTTAGCAGCCCAACTCATAATCTACTACGTTACCAGGGCACCTTCATTATGTGGGAGGATCATTCATACAACATGCTAGGAGATGACTAACACATGGTCCTTCCACATAACTAATCACTCACTGCACCAACAATAGTTATTTTAGGGTATTAACAAGTAAGAGGGCCAAAAGATGCCCTTTTACAGCTAACATTTTCAGTATTGGGGTGAATGAAGACAACGAAATCGTGAAAAGGAAGTGGGAAGAGAAACAGGGAAAAAGAGATAGAACAGGGAGGAAACTTTATTTTCACACTTACCATGTTAAGGTCTACATTAGCCATCACCAGGAAAAGGCCTGCATACTCGGCATTGGTAATCCACATCTTTGACCCGTTGATGACGTAATAATCTCCCTTCTTATCAGCTCTGGTCTTCAAAGCAAATGAGTCACTACCTGCTCCAGTCTCAGACAGACAGAAACTTCCCACCTACATAATGCAAGGGGGGAAAATAAGGCATTTAGATGCTGCCTAACAAAGACTCACTTAGAGCAAAATGGACTTTCGCAAATCAACCTTAGGCTCCTTTCAAAAGCTTGTACTTGTCAGAATAGTCATGGTATCCTGGCAGTATTTCTTTTCCAAGATATACCCTACTATTTATGGAAAACAATTAACAAACGTTAAGAATACACATGTACCATTCTGTGTAATTAAACTGGTTCTAATCCCTGCGTAGAAAGCGAACGCCACACAAGTGAAGCAATCAACAAAGGCATTAGAAAGCATAACTGGAACCAAAAGCAACTCATATTAGGGTTTGATGCTTATTCTCGAAATGTCCCAGTGGCAAATGAGAGGCAGAGTGCACTCCTCCAGCTGCATCAATGGGTCAAGCCTTGGTTCACGAGGAAGCAGGGCTGCACTGTGCTCTCGGAGGTGTACCATGGCAGTGACTTCTTCCAGAAACATCCTAAATTTAGGAAAGACCAGATCCATTATAATGATTCATCTCAACTCACTTTTTCTGAAGCCAGCTGGGTCAAATAGGTGGCCTTTTGTGCTTCTGTCCCATGTTTTCTCATCAGCGTGTTAATGACTGTGTTCTGGACGTCACACAACACAGCCACAGATGCGTCAACTTTGGCGAGCTCCTCTATCACCAGGATAGAGGAGAAAAAGGATGCTCCCGTTCCTCCATATTTTGTGTCAACTTCAATCCCCATCAACTAAAGGGAAATCAGGGAACGGTGGTTAAGAAAACAGTTTTTACATGAAGAAACCGCTTGCAAGAACAAGTTAAATAAATTACCACGGTTTATGTTCTTAATTTTTAAATTCTGTATATACATTTTATTAATGTAGTATGTAGACTTTGCTATGTTACCAGAAACAATAACAAAAACATCTACAATAGAAACTGTATATATTTTAAGAGCATAAAATGATATGCTAGAACTCTCGTTTATTTCCTTCTAGATTTGGATCTAAAACACAAAATGCTTCAAAGGATAACTGAATGGAACAATAAAATGATCAAATATCTGACATGATAAAATGCATTCTCATGACTTTTCCTGCTACCAACTATCAGGTACCTGCTTAAAGACTGTAGGTAACGTTTGCTTTGTTTTTTCAACATGGGCACTTTATGGCTTTCTGCGTAATAAGGAAGAGCTCCTGGTGTGGTGCTGTAGGGTAAGCCCTGGACTGCTAGCCACAAGGTCAGTGGTTCAAACCCACCAGTGGTCCCTTGGGAACTCTATACAGGGCCGCTATGAGACAGAACTGACTCAACAAGCCTTGACAACAACTAGGTTCTAAGGAAGCTGAAGACAGTGACCTACCCTCCCTGGGAAGGTCTACAGCTTCATTTGATGTAATCTTTTCTCATCACGATCTACCACCTTCATGCTTCCAGCCAAGATCTTAATGGAACGGCCACTCCTCTGGGGATAACGGATCACTTTAGCAAGTCCAAGATGGTAAGCAACCAACATTTGGTGGTGTTGGCTGGAGTCACACTAGATGAGGCAGAGTTGCCTGGCAGACATTGCCAAACTCTGGCCATGGCTTTCCAACAAACCTGTGTTACTCCAACATTCAGTGAAAACTTCGAAGTCAGGAACATGAAACTGTCCCAACAATGCTTTTTCGAAGTGTCCTCATCTCAGGAAGAGTCTGTGCGGAGATGCCATTCCTGCCCCAAAGCTGCTAACAGATCACAGGGCATCCTTCCTGTCCTCTCAGTCCATGGGGAAACCACACCCAGCAACAGTTGGGGCCCTGGTGGTCACAATGTAGGCAGAAAGAAGGCACAGCTGATATGGCGACAGAACCAAGTGGAGAAGACTGAGATGTGCGAGAGACCAAGATGATGTTTCCTGAGGAAGGACTGAAGGACCTGGGGTGCCCGAAGACCAAGGAGGGCCTAGTAGCCATCAAATGATCATTTCTTCAACAGCTTCTAGGACATTCCATCGCTAGAATATGCACGGTGTCTCCTCCACTCACACTAACTAGTGTTTTGGTGTCAGCTAGGGCAGGTGACCATGGAGCTGGACAAGAGGAGTCGGTGAGGTTAAGTCTAAGTGAGAGCAGGTCATGGAGCTGGGCAGTGAGTGGGGAGCAGGCCACAAGGACTACTGCCTGGGACAGTCATCCAGGAAGTGTGGAGCCACTGATATCTTGGGGAAGCCCAGAGAATCCACAAACAGTCCAGATGAAACCTGGAGGCAGAGTGGGCCCAGTGTTTCTGGTTTACTTCAGGGATTGACTCAAAGGGACTCCAGTCTCCAAGAGTTTTATGACCAAAAGAAAGTCAGGAAAAAAGCACTATTATGATGGTATGGAATCCTGGTGTGGTGCTGCAGGATAATGCACTGGACCGCAAGGTCGGTTTGAACTGCAAGGTCAGTGGTTCAAACCAACCAGCCACTGCTTAGAAACCCTATAAAGGGTCGCTATGAGTTGGAACTGACTCGACGGCACTTAACAACAATATCCGCAGTATCAAAAAAGGTAGGTCTCGTGACTTGGACCGGATGACTGGATGATCAGAGCTCAACCAGGAGAAGGAAGAAGAGGAAAAAAAACAAAGAGTGAGCTGATACAATCTGATGAACTTGACCTACACCTACGGATGCAGTGACTCAAAAGAAGGAACAAATCCTTAGAGCAAGAAACATTCCCACCCCCTCCACACACAGAGTAGACAGAGATGGGCAACTTGGACATTGGATACCCAAATGGGGATGGGGGGGGCACTACAAAGGCAAGAAGTGACTGGCTTACAAGCTTTCAAGAGGGAACCTAGAGCTAGGGGGCATGGAGGAAGGCAGAATCTCTAGTGAGTACTATCCAATCTGTCTAGGCGGATCTGATGAAATGAAATACAGATGGGTTACTCGCGATACTGTAGTGAATAATGGTTATCGGGACTGATTATGAGGGTTGGAAATGCAAAGGTAGATGTTTTGTAGCAAGGAAGGAAGTGATTAATTCTCCTGTCTAGGAGCGGAGGTCTCTAGGACCATCAACGGAGAAGAGCCAAGAGCGGGACCCTATCCTGAGAAGCAGAGATGCCTGAGATAGAGACAGAGATGATGACGTGGAGTGATGAAGCGGCTGGGGACTTTGGATCCAGAGAGGGAGAGGGACTGTGGGGTGAAGACTGAGGGGGGAGTGTAGGGGTCGGGTTTCTAGGATATATCCTTTGGTCAGTTGATGATGCATGGAGGGGATTGCAACCATGGCAATGAAATGATATACGATGGAATGAATGTAAAACTAAAGTTCTCTCATGTAAACTATCATATAATTCACATAAAAAAAAAAAAAGGTAGGTCTCTTGAAAACAGGAAGACAAAAAACTCTCTAGCTAAAGAGGAGGACAGAGAAGATAAAAATCAATGGCTCCAAATAGCAGCTCTTGGCTCTGTGCTTCCTTGTTGTTGTTGTTTAGCACCATTGAGTCAGTTCTGACTCATGTATGATATAAAAGCAGCAATGTCCACTCCTGCACCATGCTCACAATCATTGCTCTGTTTGAGCCCCCGTCACAGCCACTGGGACAGTCCATCACAAGGGTTTTCTTTCTCACTGCTTTTTACCAAGTAGGATGTCCCTCTCCAGGGACCAGTCCATCTTGATAGCATGTTCAAAGTTTCTGTGATGATGGCTCACACCCTGGCTTCTTAGGAACAATCTGGTTGTACTTCTTCTAAGACAGATGTGTTCATTCTTCTGATAGTCTATGGTATTTAATATTCTTCATCAACATCATAATTCAAAAGCATCAGTTCTTCTGCAGTCTTCCGTGTTCCTTGTCCAGTTTTTGCATGCATATGAGGCAATTAAAATTACCATAGCTTGGGTTGGGCACACCTTAGGCCTCAAAGCAACATCTTGTCTTCTAACATTTCCAAGAGGCCCCTTGCAGCAGATTTGCCCAATGCAACACATCGTTTTAATTTTTGCCTGCTGCTTCCAAGGGCACCGATTGTGGGTTTAAGTCAAATGAAATCCTGAACAGCTTCAATCTTTCTCCATTTATCATGCTGCTGCTTATTGGTCCCGTGGTAAGGGATTTTGTTTTCTTTGTATGGAGGTACAATTCACACTGAAGGCTGTGGTCTTCCATCTGTAGTGAGGTCTTCAGTATTCAAAATACCAAACTTCACTGCACACCTGGGGGGGGGCGGGGGAGGCCTCCTCTCAGAGTCTCCATGCTGACTACCTCTCCTGCCATCCCAGAGGGGTGGTGGTTCCCCTCGGACCTACTTTATCAATTGTGCTTTCCTGTGCTCTCCACGGACAGGGCTACGAGACTTGGGAAGTCTGACATCTGTTGCCCGGGTTAATGTGGACTTCTGATATCATCTCTGCTTCTGCGTTTACCACAGACATAGGGATTCAGGCAGAATACAAGCTATACAATGGAGTCGCTATTGTTAAGTGCCACTGAGTTGGGTCTGACTCATAGCGATTGGGTTTCTGAGATTATAAATCTTTGTGGGAGCAGAAAGCCTCCTCTTTCTCCCATGTAATGAAGTAGGATTTCCTGATACTACAAAGTCAAGTAGTTTTCCGTTGTGAGGGGCTGTCTTGTGCATTGTAGCATGTTTAACAGTATCCTTGGCCTCTAGCCCACTAGAGAGAGGACTCCCATGCCCAGGCCCACTAGTGAGGGAGGTAGGGCAAAATTCTGCTCTACTGAGGACATTGCTCAAACAAAGCCACTCTCTTCCGGTCAACCTTTTACTTAAAAAGCACAGTATTTCTCATTTTACAAAATTCAACTTCAAGAAACCTTAAAGTATGTAAATACTAACTAGGTTCTCAATCTAAAGCAGAAAGCAGATCATTTTGAAGAAGAGATGCTGAGTTCATAATGCCATCATTGTACCCCTAAATTTAAAAGTACACAGACACTATAACACTGGAATGTATTTATACAAGATGGGCAGAATTATGAAATATATACCCCTTGTTGAAATAGTCCTTGTATTATTGATTTATCCATTTCTGAATTTTCATCCATTGTTGAAACCAAAGGAGCAATTTGTTGCTGGGCAAACTTTTTAACTGTAGAAAAAAAGAAATATCACTAAGTTTCCATGTAATAAACTAGAACAAATATAACAGCTCATTAATAATTCCACTGGCAACATTTTACTTATTTTTTTTAACTAATAAGGTACAATACACACAGACATTCTTATTCTCTTTAGATAAAAAATGTTACGTTGTTTTTCAATACAGACAGGCATCACTCTCGGTCCTTTCTGTTGGAGCTCTTCATGATATCAAAAAAATATATGCGTATGTATGGCTCCAATGGAGTCCCGGTGTGATGCTGTAAGATAAGCACTGGACTACTAACTGCAATCTCTGTGGTACAAACCCACCAGCTGCTTCTTGGAAACTCTGTACAGGATGACTGTGAGTCAGAACTGACTCGATGGCACTTAACAACAACAATGGCTGTATTTTGTGATACAGAAAATACAAAATACACAATGTAACTTTGCTCTCTTACTTGGTCCTCTCTGAACTCTGTCTGAAGGTTTTCTCATTTTAAGCTGTCTTGCGCAATTTTTCTGAAAACTTTTATCTGAAAAAAAAGCTAGTTTCCATCTACCTATATATATACCACAAGGTCGATGGTTCAAACCTACCAACTGATCTCAGAAACCCTATACAGGGTGCTATGAGTTGGAACCGACTCAACAGCACTTAACAACTGTATACAAACACATACATTACGCTGCCTTTTTATACAACAGAAACACATTCAGCGCCTTGTCTGCATAGTCATATAGGGCAGGACTCCTCCGTGCCATCCCACTGACACCCGGGCCAGGCCAGTCTCTGTAGTGAGGGGTCTCCTTGCCTGCTCTGTCCTCTAGATACCAGGTGCACTTCCTCAGTTGTGAACAAAAAAAAATGTCTGTTGTTGCTGTTAAGTGCTGTTCAGTCAGTTCCGACTCATAGTGACCTGGTATAGGGTTTCAAGGAGCAGCTGGTGAGCTTGAACCACCAACTTTGTGGTTCAAAGCAACCTTGCAGTCCAGCGCATTATCCCGCAGCGCCACCCCAAGATTGCTGTTGCTGTTGTTGTTGTTGTTAAGTGCTGTCGAGTTGGATCCAACCCATAATGACTCTATATAGGGTTTCTGAAGAGCAACTGGTGAGCTTGAACCGCCGACCTTGCAGTTCAAACGGCTTTGCAGTCTGGCGCATTAACCCACAGCGCCACACCAGGACTCCACCGCAGGACTGTAGACACTGTCAAATATCTCCTGGGGCAAAACTCCCCTTAGTTGAGAGCCACTGTTTGAGACTTTTACAGTTGTTTATGAATTTCAGTCTTAGGCCCATTTGGAAGTGAGTTTGATGAAAGGGATGGGCGGACTCAATCTCTTTCTTCACTTCACGCCCATCATCATATCAGGTGCTGTGGATGGATAGATACAGGAGCCCTAGTAGCGCTTAGGATAAGCACTGGACTGTTAATCACAAGGTTGGTAGTTCAAATCCACCAGCTGCTCCATGAGAAAACGATGAGGTTTCCTGTTCATATAAAGGTTTTCAGACTGGGAAACTCTACACACAGGGCCAGTGGATGGCTAGAGAGGGCACCAGTCCCCAACTGAAACTTCAGTGCACACAGGCTTGCTTACAAATATTCCTTTATTTCTAAGGAGCTGGTCCCTCTTCTGAGGGTGTTTGCCCTTTCCTTGTCTAGCTGCCAAACTCCTCTTTACCCTTCAAGGTCCAGCTTATGCACTGTGCTCTCTGGGAAGCCAATGTGAAGCACTTCCCTACTCCCAATTCCTGCATCTCCGGGAAATTCCAGGCGCTCTCTGCCAGGTTCCCCAGCACTCTGGATGTGGCCTTTCTCACTGTGTTGTCAGGCTCTTCCTTTGACTCGACTGCCTTCTCTACTAGACTGTGACTTCCTTGACAAAGTAGGGACTAGATTCCTATGAGGATGGGCCTACAATTTGAGGAGAGCAAACAAAATGGTGATGTCTGAGCTGGCCCCTGAGGCCCTAGCCTCTGATGTTCACTGACTGAGTCAAATCCTGAGGGCTGCGGGGACTGTGTAGATCTGATTAAAGTCAGCTGACTTTAAGATAGGGTCATGACTCGATCTAGACCAGACTGCATCAGGCAAACTCTGAAAAGGGACAGTCCTCCACTGGTGACACAGATCTGAACTGTGAGAGGGATTCGGGACAAGGGTGCTTTCTCCATAACTGGCTCTGAAGATGGAGGGCGCCAGGTGGCAAGGAATGAGAAGGTCTCCAAGAGCTGAGGAGGACACCGGGCCGGCAGCTGGCAAGGAGACAGGGACCTCAGCCCTCCACCTGCAGGGAGGGACCTGGTATGCCACTGAGCTCCAGAGGAAACGTGGCATAGCAACACCAGATTCTAAGTCCTGAACCCCTGAGCAGAAAGCCCGACTCCACATGCCTGGACCTCCAAACCCACAGAACAGGGAGCCGATAGATAGATGGGCATTGCTCAAAGCCTCTATAGCCGTGGGAGTTTGTTACACAGCAACAGAAAATGAATGCACCTGCCAACCCATACTCTTCCAGTACAGCAATTCTGATCTCATGCTCTAGAGCCTTGATAACAAAACAAAGCAAACCCAGGACCATGAGGTCCGGTCCAGCTCACAGAGACCCTACGGGACCGGGCAGCACTACCCCCGCGAGCTTCCAGGGCCGGCATCTTTACAGAAGCAGCGTCAGCTCTTTCTCTTACAGAGCAGGTGGTGGATTCCAAACACTAACCTTTCAGTTAGCAGTTCAGTACTTAACTAGTGAGCCACCAAAAGTTAACAAAACAAAAACCCCTTGCCAGTGAGTCCGTTCTGACTCCCAGTCACTCTGGAGGGCAGTAGGGTTTCCAAGGTTGTCACCTTTACGGAAGCAGACCGCCACATTTTCTTCTATAGAATAGCTGGTGGTGGGTTCGAGCCACCGACCTTTCTGTTCGCAGCCAAGCGCTTTAATGACTATGCCACCAGGGTTCTACAGATCTTTCCATTACGTATACCACCATCATTCCTTACCAGCCCACATACTCCCCTACGTAGTGTGGTCGTGGTTGTGTGCTGACGAATCCGTTCAGACTCATAGTATTTGACCTGTAAGTCAGTTAACACAAGCTGCTTGTGGCTTCAGTAGCATACAATTTCCTCTTGATCCAGGTTTCCTATTTCAACCACAGTCACTTCGTGGATATAGGCAAAATTTATGTTTTTGGCAAAATATTAGCCTGAAAAAAGTGAACTAATTATATGCATTTCTAAGGGGCCCTGGTAGCACAATGAGTCCTGGGGCAACGCTGTGGGTTAATGCGTCAAACTGCAAAGCCATTTGAACTGCAAGGTTAGCGGTTCAAGCTCATCAGCTGCTCCTCGGAAACCCTATACACTTAAGAATAACAACATTATATGTATTTCTAAGGGGTCCTGGTAGCACAATGTTCAAGCACTCAAGTTGAGAGGTTCCACTCCACCAGCTGCTGTGCAGGAGCAAGACGCGGTGGCCCACTTCCGGAAAGAGTCCAACCTCAGAGAACCTACAGGGCAGCTCTCCTCTGTCCTATAGGGGGCGCTGAGAATGAGAATCGACAAGACAGCAGAGCAATGAAGATACACACGTCCAACTCTGGAAGGACACATGAGAAACTGGTAATAACATGCAATTTCTGAATAGAACAGAGGGACACAGAGGGCCGGGCAGGGGGCGGGGGCTGGTGAGGGACTGAACTATTAACCCAACAGCCCAGTTTCTGCAATGTTTTTACAGCCATAGAATATGTATTGCTTCGAAAACAAAAAGAAGCTCAGATCCCTTTACACAGTTAGATGCATATAGCTTCCTGACAGACTCAGGCTGCGTGTCATTTCATACCACACATCCAACCCCGGCCCCGAAGAAGAGCAAGTTGGGAAATCTCCTCACCTGTGTTTCTGATCATCAGCTCCTCCTCCGTGAAAGTCTGCAATGGAGCACACGGCAGTCCATTGTGTGCTATGTTAAGTAATGCTTCCGACTGGGAAGACTTGAAGACTCGAGGAGGAATTTTCCAAGAAGACAGGCAAAGTGGGAGATTTCTTGTTAACTAAGGGAACAGCCCCCATTAAAGAGGGAACACACACACACACAAAAAAAGAAGAAGGGCATTTGAATATCAGTTTATTTGGGATTCTTTTGAACCTATTTTTATGGTATACATCACCAAAGTGTTATTGGTGTTAAGTGCTGTGAAGTCCATTCTGACTCATAACAACCCTGAACAGTTTTTCTGAGGAGTGGCTAGTAGGTTTGAACTGCCAACCTTATGGTTAGCAGTCCAGTGTTTATCCTTCTGCTGGTACACATTTGAACTCACCATCATTAGGGCATAAACACATATTACAGTATTAAACATTATGCTATATCTCCTTTCTTCCTAGTCTGTCTTTGTCTGGAAGCTAATCTGAAACCTGTCCACCATGGGTGACCCTGCTAGTATTTAAAATACCGGTGGCATAGCTTTCGGAATCACAGCAATACACAAGCCACCACAGTATGACAAACTGACATTCAAGTGGTAGAAGAAGGAGTGACAAACTACTTCTGAATACTGAGTCACTGAAAACTTTACGAAGAGCAGAGAAACACGGTCAGATATAGTGCAGGAAAATGAGCCCCTCAGGTTGAAAGGCACTCAAAATGCGACTGGGGAAGAGCTGCCTCCTCAAAGTAGAGCTGACCATGATGACGCGAATGGAGTAAACCCTGTGGGAGAAAAGCTCACAGGACCTTCATTTGCTGGTGGGGCACAACTCACAATGAAAAGAAACAATTGTAAGCATCCACTTAAAATCGGAATATGGAATGTATGAAGTATGAATCTGGGAAAATTGGAAGTTTTCAAAAATGAAATGGAACACACAAACATCGATATCTGAGGCATTAGTGAGCTGAAATGGACTGGTATTGGCCATTTTGAATCTGACAACCACATGGTTTACTATGCTGGAAATGACAAATTGAAGAGAAATGGTGTCACACTCATCGTCAAAAAAAATATATCCAGATCAGTCATGAAGTACAACGCTGTCTGTGATAGGATAATATCCATGCGCCTACAGGAAAGACCAGTTAGTACCACTATTATTCAAATTTACGTAACAACCACTGAAGCCAGTGAGGATGAAATGGAAGAATTCTACCAACTTCTTCAATCTGAAATTGATCAAACATGCAATCAAGATGTATTGATTATTAGTGGTGATTGGAAAGCAAAGGTTGGGAGCAAAGAGGAAGGATCAGTCATTGGAAAATACAGCCTTGGTGATAGAAATGACGTTGGAGAATGCATGATAGAATTCTGCAAAATCAATGATTTGTTCATTTCAAATACCTGCTTTAGACAGCATAAGAGATGACTATACACATGCACTTCACCAGATGGAATATATAGAAATGAAATTGACTACATCTGCGCATACAGACAATGGAAAAACTCCATAGCATCAGTGAAAACAAGGCCAGGGGCAGACTGTGAAACAGACCATCAATTACTCATATGAAAATTCAAACTGAAGCTGAAGAAAATGAAAACAAGTCCACGAGAGTCAAAATATGACCTTGAATATATCCCACCTGAATTCAGAGATCATCTGAAGAACAGATTTGATACATTAAACACTAAAGAACAAAGACCAGAAGA